TATATATATATATATATATATATATATATGTTTAAACAATTTTATATATATTTATATATGTTTAAACAATTTTAAAATGTATTCTACATAATAGCCCTTAAAAAAAGTTGTTTTGAAAACTTTGAACTAAATTTTGATTTTGTAAAAAAAAGAATACAAAAAAGCAAAACAGAACTAGAAATGTAATTTGGTTCAATCCCCCATATAGCAAAAATGTTTCCATTAACTTGGGAAAAGTATTTTTAAAATTGCTTGATAAGCATGTCCTGTTCTCTAATAAATTACATAAAACTTTAAATCAAAATACAATTAAGGCTACAGTTGCATAATAAATATGGAAAGAATTAAAAAAGGTCACAAACAAAAAAGAAATCCTAAATGAAAAACTACAGAATAATGTAATTGTAAACCAAAAAACAATTTTCCAATGAGTGGAAGTTGTTTATCAAAATTAGTGGTATATAAATGTGTTGATTCCTCTTAGAATGTACCTGATAAACGTTTTACTAATCATAAAAAAAAAATGTTTTGCCAATCATAAGCAATCTTTTAAAGATAAAAAGTATTCAAAAGACACCATGCTATCAAAATATATATGGGAATTAGAAACTAAAAATATTGATGATTTTATACTGATTTGGTCCATACTTTAATTAGCACCTGTATATTACATTATTTCCAAAAAATGCATACTATGCATTTGAAAAAATTTGAAATAAATGCACATGCAAACCAAGAATGTTTATTAAACAAAAAATCAGAATTAATTTTTAAATGCATGAAAATAAGTTTCTCCTAAAAAACTATAAAAACAAAACTATGAGCTCAAATAATAAAAACATTAAATCCCCTCTTTTTAAAAAATGTTTTAATGTTTCTCCGAATAAAGTAAAAAAATAAGTGGCTTCAAATTCACATTCAAATTTTAAATAATTTTTTTAAAAAAACAAACGCATAAGTTATCATTTCTAAAGAATTTTTTTTATAATAGTTCAGCTAATTCTACAAATGTCGCATTTGCCAACTATTTTTTATCCCAGGGCGTGACGTATCGTTTTTTTTAATGAACATTGACTTGCGTATCTTTATTTATTGACAAACGTCTAATTTAAGAGATTTATATCAAACAAATTTCAAATAATTTTTATTTTAGTTGATAAGTTATCAAATATATCAAAGATGCTTGGTAAATTAATTCAATTGTTATTTTTCAAAAACTTTTTTTACACATTTGCAAAGCGCGCGCAAATTAATGATAAATGCACAATAAAAAAAACTTTTAAAAGTGTTTTTAATATGCAAACAAACATTATTTCGCTTTATGGAAAATATTAAAATTAAGAAAAAAAACATGCACAATTTTATTTATAATTAAATCATTTGCTTTAAACTTTTACTGTAATTGCTAAAAACAGAAAAGAAACCATGTTTAAACATTATGATTGCTTTCTTCAATAAAAGAAAGCAATCGAATTGTTTTGGACGGTTTCTTTGGATGTTTTTGCAAAAGGATTTATTTTATGTAAAATTATGCATACTTTTGTAAGCGCATGCAAAAACCATGCTAAAACATAGTTACTTTCTATTTATTTTATTTAAAAGTGACACTATTGAAAAAAGTAATAATGTTTTATCATTTTATCATTCTTTAAATATTTTACTTTTTTAGATTAATTTTTGTTATATATATTATTTTAAGGATTTTATTCTCTTTTAAGTTTATGGATTGTTTATTTTAATTTGCTTTGTTTTTTTTAGCGCATTTTTTTAAACGCGCTAATTATCAAAACTTGCGATGAGCCGTGGTCAACTTGTTCAAATAAAGAACTATATCCGTGGTCATATAAGGCGTGCACACTTCTGGAAGCTTCTGGATGTGTCTGGATGTTGTTAGATGTTATATATATATATATATATATATATATATATATATATATATATATATATATATATATATATATATATATATATCCAGACACATCCAGACACATCCAGAAGCTTCCAGAAGCATCGAAAAGAAGCATCTAGAATCTTCCAGAACAGGTTCACACAGGTTCATTTTACTATATAAGAGAGATGTAAACCGACATATAATTCAGTCAGTAAATGGAAGTCAATCAGTCAGTATTATTAAGACAGTTTATCGGAGTGAGTTTTATCAAAGTGTTTTATCAAAGAACATCAATACAAGAAGTGAAATACAACAAGTGTTTCATTACATCAATGCAGTCCACATCCAACCAAGGCATTGTGTTCCACAGAGCATTATTGTATTATCACAAGGTAAATGTAACACAGTAAGCCTTGAGAAGCATGATTATTTATTTTTATTATTTTCATGAATTCAAGTGCAAAAATGACTTCCGACAGTCTTGGATTGAAACTTATTGGCGATTGATGAAGAAAATTATTGGCGATTACGTAAGTGGAATGTCACAAAAAAGTATTTGTAATAAATATTGCGTGAAAAAATGGACCATATCAAGACAATGTTCCAAATATCTTTCTACAGGGAAGTTGGAAGCAGATAACAAAGGTGGAAGACCGCGTTCCACCACTTCTAGAGAGGATTCTATGATAAATAAAATAATTAAAATAAAAACAGCAATGTATCATATATACTCAACATAATAGAAAAAGAAAAATGGCAAAACCAACAGTATACTTAAATTCTAAATAAAATTAATAAATTCAAAACAGCAAAATGAATGATTCACTTAAATTTTAGAGAGAATAAATAAAATTATAATTAATTAAAGATTATAAAATTACAACAGCAAAACAAATATTATGTGAGGTAGAATCAAAAAAATGCATTGTAAATTTTAGTAAAATTAATAAAAAATTGATCATCTAAAAAATTATTTGATCGTCTGGTTTTTAATTTTTTTATTTCAGCTGATCAATGTTGATCAGCAACTTTCAAATAACTACTTCAAGCGCTGAATTTTATATATATATATATATATATATATATATATATATATATATATATATATATATATATATATATATATATATATATATATATATATATATATATATATATATATAGATAGATGATAGATAGATAGATAGATAGATATATATATATATATATATATATATATATATAGATATATATATATATATAGATATATAGATATATATATATATATATATATATAGATATATATATAGATATATATATATATATATATATATATATATATATATATATATATATATATATATATATATATACATATATATATATATATATATATATATATATATATATATATATATATATATATATATATATATATATATATATATGTATGTATGTATATATATATAGATATATATATATAGATATAGATATATATCTGTGCGTGTTTTATAAGCTGGTTTTGTTGTATTAAATCAACTCTGCTGACTTTTTAGTTTTGGATTTTTCCTTTGATTATTCTGTTAAGTAAAAAAAAAAACTTTTTTTTTTTAAATATATCCAGCTAAAAAAAAAAATTATGATACATTTTAAATAATCTTTATCCAAGTAAACAAAGTTTAGGTTGAATCAACATAACTGACAATATTTTATAATAGAAATTTTGTAATTCATAAAATATCCATTAATAATTATGTTGTTTATTAGAAGTAATAATTGACAGCAAGGGCAGATCCAGACTATTTTAAAAGAGGTGAGGGGGGGGGGGCGTTTATACCATTATTACCGAAATTCTTCTTTATTTGGTAGATGCATACAATTTAATAAGAAGGGGGGTGGCGATATTTAGATTTAATGATTTGTATGCAAGTAATTACACAATTTTGAATTTGCACCAAATAGTTGTAATTTTATTCAGACAGCCTAACCGTTGTAATTTTAGTTGTAATTTTATTCAGACAGCCTATTATTTCCAATTTTAAACAATTTGCTGTGTTTAATTTATAAACTTACAAAAATAAAAAAATTTTAAACTTTCTAAGGAAAAGGGTGAAGTAAGATTGTAGAATATTTAATAACCAATGTCCTTATTTTTAAAAAATTCTAATAAATTCTTCTTCATAAATTTTGTCCCTGGTACTGCCAAGCTTTACTTAATTCTTGGCACAGTGGCCTTGTTTGTCAAGTTTCATGTTGTACCTGAATGTATTTAATACTAGAGAACATATTTTTAAAAAACAACATACCTGAAGATAAAATATATAATATATATACATACCATTATTACCGAAATTTGGTGGATGCATACAATTTATTAAGAAGGGTGGTGGCAATATATTCTGCTAGTGATGTTGGGTACTGTTTAGAAACCTCTGCTTATAGTTTTACTAAGCAAATGATTGATGGGATTTAAGTTAGATAAATTGCCTGGCCAAATGGCAAAAGCATTAGATGCATTTTCTTTAGGCCATGTCTGACATGTTTTGCCTGATGCCAAGTTGCCCTATTGTGCATGAAAATATCACAGTTTCTAACTAGAAGCCAATTTGACACGTTGCTATTTTAAGTTTTTAATTATTTTTCAGAATTGACTGTTACTTTTTTGAAAAGGTGATGACAAGCATTTGTATGCAGTAATTGCACCTTCATAGTTATTGCAATGTTTTACCATAAACAAGTAAAATGTTTCAGGTGTTGTGGTTACAACCCTCTCAACTCTTTACCTCGTAAACACCAAACTTTACAAAGAAGACTGCTACTTGGCAAAACAAACTACTAGCCCAGTACTAACAAAGTTGTAGTTAAGAGTTTTATATATATTATATGTATGTATGAAATATATGTATAAGGATATAAATTTAATAACAAAACATCATGTTATATGTTACTTTTATAAAATTTAGAATTATAGTAATGGTAAAATAATTTAAAGCTGAAAAAAGTAATGATTTATTACATAAAAAAGAAAAAAAAAGTTTACATAAATTAAAGAATTATTTGTATTTGCTCCACATTTAAACTTAATTTTTAAAGTTTTTGTTTGAAAGTAGAACTTTATTATATCATTTAGAGACTACAAGTTTACCAGGAATATCTTCCGGATTTTCTGCCAATAAAGGTAATTTTAATATTTGGTTTATCTAAATTTACTAAATTTTTACTATGTTCTAAAAACGTTTGCAACAATTAGGTTTTAATGTGCTTTGTTTGTATATAAAGCTTATTAGAAAAGTGTGTTGAATATTTATTGAGAAGGACCTTCATTAAGCTTCAAAATATTCTTTTATTTCTTCAAATAAATTAACTTTAAAAACGAAACAAAAACTGCCATCAATATGATTACATTAACATTAACACTCGATGAGTACATCAAGAAAAAATTATTCTTTTAAATAAAAGAATAATTTTTTCTTCCATTTTTTTAAATAAAATTTCAATTTAACTTTTAAAAAATTTAACTTCTATAAAATTTTATAAATTTTATAATATGTATTTAGCTATATATCATTAAATAATTTAACTTCATTCAGTTGCATTTTGTATGTTACCTTATTTTATTGTTGTTATGTTTATCTAAGTTTTAAGAGAATTAACCAAGTCTGTTATAACTTATAGAAGAAGCAACATATAATATAACATAAAAACTCCTTAATTGTAGTAATAATATGAAAATCAGTGGATAAATAATATCTTAAAAAGTATTTTATTAAGACTAACTAAATTCTGTAATAATAACAGATAAATTTTAGCCTAATTAGTTGTTAAAAATTTTTTTGGTTGATAAAACAATGATACACGTTGTGATAAAAATTATGTGTTTTATTTACACATTAACTTTTTTTTTTTTTTTTTATTCTGAAGCCTTTCATTGTTGTAAGCTTACTTTTTATTTTGTAATCAATTTTTTGTTTTATAAGTTATTTTTTGTTTTATAGGTTTTTGTTTGGTGATATATTTATTTTATATCTTTGTTATTTTTAGTGTTTATAAAAAAAAGTTATATTTTATTATTGTAAGTACTGTTTGGGTGTATTGTCTGTCTTATTTATTTTTTAAAAATCCTCTACTAATCTTTATTTTTGTCTTGACAACTGTCAAATATGCTTTGATAAAAAAAATTCTCCTTTATTCTAATGTACTTCATTTCTTCCTTCAGGCGTTCGCTGCTTGCGTGTGACCATTTGGCGATTTTATATGCCAAAGTTTTTAAATTACTTTATATTTCAATAGCCAACCATAAAGATACATAATCTTAACAGTCGCGAATGTTTTTTATTGTTCAACATTCATATTGAATATTTATAATTATAATTATTATAACATTTATAATTAGATTAATTATAATTAGAAACATTACAACTTTGCACAAGTGGCTAAACACAAATAACTTTATAGTTCAATAGCTAACCATTATGAAATATATTCTTATCAGTTATGAATTAGGTTTCTAATTGTTTGACATTTATAATTAGATATGGAATATTTTATATTTGCAATAATTGTTGAAACCAAATAATCAATCAATAAAATAGCATTTCCTTACTTTGTGTTGTGACCTGAAATAATTTTATAAATGATTGTATAGCAATTTATAAATTTATAAAATAATGTTTTTTTAAATAAAATAAATAAACTTTAAAAACAATCAAAACTTTTATTTCAACTTTATTATATCATTTAGAGACTTCAAATTCAACAGAAATATCTTGCGGATTTTCTGCCAATAAAGGTAACTTTGATATTTGGTTTATCTAAACCAACTGAACATTCACTATGTTTTAAAAATATTTGCAACAATTAGGTTTCAATGTGCTTTTTTGTATGAAATGCTTATTAGAAAAGTAAAATCCTTTTTAGAAAAAGACCTTCACTTAGATTTAAAAACCTCTCTTGTTTTTTTAAATAAAATAAATTAACTTTAAAACAATTAAAAATTTTATATCATAAATATCATTACATCAACATTAACACTCAATGAGTCCATCGAAGAAACAATTATTCTTTTAAATAAAGGAATAAATTTTTCTTCTTTGTAACTTCTATTAAGTTTAAAATTTTATAAACTTTTCAATAAGTATCTATTTTTATGTTAGCTAGTTACCATTAAATAATTGTTTAACTTTATTTTAAAACATTTTTATATGTTAACTTATTTTATCACTGTTATATTTATCCAAGTTAAGTAAATTTACCAAGTCTGTTGTAATTTATTGAAGAAGCAACATTACAACTTTGCACAAGTGACTAACCACAAATATTTTATTTTAATAGCCAACCACAATAAAACATAATCTTTTTAGTTATAAATAAGATTTCTAATTGTTTAACATTTATAATTAGATATGGAATATTTTATATTTGCAATAATTATTGAAACCAGGTAATTGATCAATAAAATAGCATTACCTTAAAATAGTCACAACTTTTTGTTGTGACCTGAAATAATTTTATAAATAATTGTATAGCAATTTATAAATTTTTAAAATAATAGATAGTCCATAGGCAGTAATTTTTTATTGTTCCTCTTAAATAGATGTCTACCATCTATATTTACCATCTATCTATTATTGATAAAAACCATTCTAAAAAGTTTTTGTCTAATGCAAAAGCCGCTATTGTCAAGTCACTGAATCTTGTACATCATCTTAAAAATTAGGCTCCAGAAACTTCTGGGGAAGCTTGAACCTTGTTTTTAATAAATTTTTTGTGTAAATCTATTATTCCATTTCTCTCACATGTTTCAAGTTTTGTTACCCCACCTAAAAACAAAGCTGAATTGTTTGCTAAGAGTTTTTCATCAATCTCATCCCCACAAATCACATTCTACCTGATATAGCTATCAAACAGGTTGATCCATTGCTTGACTTCGGTATCACTCTAACTTCTGTATCTATAGTGATTTTCTGCTTAGACTTTTATACAGCTTGTTGTCCTAACAACATACCTGTTATAGTCTTGCAGAAGACTAGAACGGGCATCTACTTTGTTCTTAGAAACCATATATCAAATATGTTATATGTTTTTAAAAAAAATAGAAAATTAGCATCTGCTAAGGTTGTATCTTTTTATTGTGCTTGCCACTTTTATACAAAAGATTCTATTTTTTATTTCTATAAATCTCTAGTCTGTCATTTTATGGAATACTGTTGCTACATCTGGAGCTGATCTTCACATTATGCTCCTTCTCTTTTAGATGAGGTACAAAACACATTTTAAACAAAGTTAGCTGCTTTTGCAGCCAACCTTCAAACATTGTCACATCCTCGTAATGTTGCTTATTTTTTTTTTCTTTCTATAAATACTATTATGGGTACTGCTTTAAAAAGCTTACAACTCTTGTTTTATCTACTAAAATCTGTTCCTGTGTTACTCCTCATTCAGTTAAGGGTTATCCTTTTACTGTGACTGTTCTCAAGTGCTCTAAAAATTCTTATATGTTTAGTTTTTTTTCTTATTGATGTTTACAGTTTCCGAAGATTGCATAGAATTTTCATTTCATTTTATTATTTTCTGCATTTAGTTTAGAAGGCATTCCAATCTGTAAATGTAAAGTCGTTTATGGTTTGCTTGTATTGATCACCATCAAGAATCTACCTTATGTCAATGTTTAGAGTTTTTCAATTAAAGTAACTATAGATTTATTAACCACTTTTTGTTTAGCAGGCTCAAATAAAATAGAAACGATTTAAAATGAATTAAGAAACTGCATCCTTACTTATTTTTTAATTTATTTTTTCTAAAAATTGAAAACTTACATTAAATGAGGTGATCCTAAACTATATGAGGCATTATTTTTTGAGTACGATAATATATAATATTTGAGTGTCTTATATATATAATAAAATTTAAAAGCAAATTTTAATTAAAGATTAGACTCTAGTTTTGTTTTTTTTTAATTTCAATTTTTAGTTTCTTTTTTTATTTCAATTGGATGCAGTAGGGGTTATTTATAACTATTTCTGCCCCTGTACCCCTGTGCCCCCTGCTCCAATTGCTGTGTTTTTATCAAAATATATATTTTTAGATTTATGTTAGTGCAATTTAGTGCATATTTATAAATAATAGTTGCAATTTCCTTCATATCAAAAATCTGTGCAAAATATTTTTTTCACTGATACAAAAAAACATTTGTATTGTATTTAAAAGTTTAAATATATTATTAACAGAAGGGGGTTTTGTATTCAGCAAAAATGTCTATCACAGTGAAAAGTTAAGAGCTCTGGTTGCTGAATACAATACAGTAAATTGTAATAAGAATTTATCACAGGGATGCAGAGTCCCAAAATGTACTCCGGCTTTATAACTCTACTTTTTCCAAGTCTGTAGACTTACCGCCATTATACCTTAGCACTCTGGGTTCAAAAAATGATTGTTCCTCTAACCTTAATATCCTAATTTTTTCCCTATTAGTAGTTTATAAACTTATTTATACTTTTAGAGCTCCTGTTTACCAAAAACTAGGATGAAGTAATCTTTTTGTGACTTCTAAATTATGAATCCTTTTTGGGACTCTGCATCCCTGTGATAAATTCTTATTACAATTTATTGTATTGTATTCAGCAACCATAGCTCTTAACTTTTCACTGTGATGGATATTTTTATCGGGTACAACAAACCTGTTCTGCGTCATTTTTAAATTTTTATGCGCTACTGCAGATGTTTGTACTGATGTAACACCAAGCAAGATCTTCTGCATATCAAAATTCTCCTTAATATAAAACCTGATAATGTGAAACTTTCATCCAAATGAAATCTTTTTTTTGAATACATCATTGAGATCTGATTTTACATTGTTTTTATAAATATGCTGTTTAGATGGTTTATGATTATATTGATAATTTCTACAGTCAGTTTTATTTGTAACAGGCATTGATTGTAACATTTTCATAATGTTGAAGCTGTATATGAGGTTTATTATCAAGTCTCTGAATTAAACTTATCATTTTGGTTACTTATATTGCTTATCAAGTAAAAATAAGGAAAAAAGGTATTTACAGATAATCCAAAAATGATGTTGAGATCCGAGGCCAAGGTAAACTTCAATTGATTGAGTTGAAAGAGTTGAAAGAGTATTTTTAGATGGTTCTCCTCTATGTTTCCAAATAAGTCTAGTATGAAACACCAGATCTTTGTATCAAATAATTTTTGCCAACCTGATGCCGACCTCAAAAAGATTGAGGTCGGCAAATTATTAGTTCTTAACTTTAGTGATAACTTTACCTTTCTTTTTTAAATAAAAGTTTGTTTTTTAGCATGCACAAACTTCAGGCGAATGAGAATTTAAGTTCAGACTGAATCCATGATCTTTTGTTAAAAACAAATTAAAAACAAAAAAAACAAAGCCTTACTCAATGATTATTTTTATATAAAATTTTTATAAAAAAATATCTTCAAGAAAAAAAGTAATAAAAACTAACGTATTAGACATTCTTCTCTTCTTGTTTTTTCTTATTATATTACTTTTCCTTATTTTATTATTATTTTTTTTTTTTTTTTGTTCTATTTCCCTAAAGATATGTCTATGTTTTCAGAATTTCCTATTTTCTGAAAAAGTTCAATTTCCTATTTTCTGAATGAAATCTTGCTTTTTGCAGACTCATTGTGAGATAATTATATATATTTTTTAATATGAATATTCTAATAATCTGTTTACTTTAAACAAAGTATCAGGTGATTGATGCAGTTTATTGAGACTAATTTCACTAAATTTTATTGTGCTTATTTCATTAGTTTACATCTAAAAAAATAAGTTTAGGACCCCCTTGACGCTTGAGCATTTTAAGTTTTCAGAAAAAACATCAAAAGAAAAGGTCAAGTTTTTTATTCGTTTTTTAACTGTTTTTTATAAACCTGGTAAAAAGTGTGGTTAAAAAAAGTAAAGTCCGAAGTAAATTTAAGCTTAACTGAAAACATCAACAACAAAAAGAGTGTATTCTATAGAGTAGGTATTATTTTATTGAAAAATATAGGGTATATTGATACCCTTAATTTTTTCATTTATTAAGATAATATTGGATTAAAAAAGAATTATTTTACTAAAAAATATTTATAGACGTAGTACCAAACCCTAAAACATCAGATAATTGTTAATTAAATAAATCACAGCAAGTTATGTGGAATGTGAAGTAATACTAAGTGAATATATTTATGGTATTAGAAAACAATTAGAAAACAATTTGACTATACTTAAGTAAAAATAATTAAGAAACTTATAATGATAAATAATTGAATAAACTATTCATTTCAATTTAAACAATCCATTTTTTTTTTTTTTTTTTTTTTTGTACTGTTTTTGTAATTTTATTGTTTTTAAAAATTTCAAACTGAAGAGAGTAATCATAACATTATTTCATCTTTAATAAATAGCAAACTTGAAAAACTGATTTTTTTTATAATGCTAGCTAGTTTTTTAAAGTTAAATTAAAAACTATGCTAAATAACTTTATTAGTTAAATTTAAATATAGGATAAGTAAAATCAAATATATGTTTTGACATATATTTGGTTTTTAACAAAGATTTCTATATATTTTAAACATCAATTTATCTAAAACTTGCACTAACTGTTACTTTCAACATCATTTATGTTACAAAATGGAATAATAAAAAATCATTGGTTATAAATAAAATTCATTTTTGTTGATTAGTATTTACATAAACTAAAATAAAACTTAAGTTGATACAAATAATAATAGACTTACGCAGATTTTATTATTTTTACACTCTAGAAAAAATACTTTTCAATTAAAAACTCTTTTATGTTTAAATGTTTTATTTAACTGAAACTAATTAACCAACTCTACTTTAATTTTTGAAAACTTTTTCCAGTCGTCTTTATTAACTTTTTCAAAGTTGTCATAATATTTACTTTAATCCCAGAACAACTAATGATTAAGTCTTTTTTGTTAATTAATGCTTTTACGCATGTTTGTTTGTGACAAATTTTTTTAATTTTTCAAGCTAATTTTAGCATTTCTTATCATTCCTAATGCTATTGTTCAGTTCTGAAAAAAACAAAATAACTTAAAAATTCTTATTATATTAAAAGTTTGTAGCTATACTTTAGCTTTTTCTCCTTCTGACTCTCCTTCAGCTATCAAACATCATAAAATAAATGTACATATTCTAAATGAGTTTACTTGAATCTTTAAAATCATTCGCAATGCTGTCCAGACTTAAAGCTGCAGAGGAGTTGTAACTTTTAATAACAGGAACACTGTGATCATAAAATTTAGAACATGGCATTTTTCAGGCACGCTGCATCACAATCAAAGGATTCAGAGCTCTAACCATTAGGGTTACACATTTTCTTTTTTTCACTTTTTCAGTATATGTCACTTATTAGACTATGATGCAATTGTGAAAATAAGCAAACCCTTTATTCCCTTACCTAACTTAAGTTGTAAATCTTGACAAAGTTGAACTTAACTGCTGTTGTCATTGATGTACAGCTGACAAGCTTGTTAGTTGGATATTATTTATTTGTTCATGCAGAAGAAACTAGAAATGAGAGCACAGCTCAAACCGCTTTAGAAAAATGTAGAAATCAAATGTTATTTTCTTTTCATAGGCAAAGAACATTAGTATCTTTTAGCACTTTCTTTTTTTTTTTGAGAAAGCTTACAACTTCATGAGACTTCTCATTAACTCCAACTTTTAGGTATGCAACTTTTTTTCATCTCTGCAGACTTTATAAAAAGAATCATCTTCACATGAAACTTCTTTTAAAAAATCTCAATGTTTTGCAGAGGTCTATTCATAAGAACAATGTTCATTATTGATTTTTTGCTTAATCTTTTTAAATGTTGAAGAAGAAAATCAATATAGAGCCACAATAACATGGATCTAAAAAGTTGCTGGAGCCACATTTTGATTTTGAATAATTTGCAACTAATTCTAACTAAGAAGTTTATTTGAACTAACAACTTTAAGTAAAACTTTTGTTATTAAATTAATAAATTACTAAAGTAATTTATTTCTAATTTTATATTTAGATAAATGTGTAACCATTAGGGTTACACATTTTCTTTTTTTCACTTTTTCAGTATATGTCACTTATTAGACTATGATGCAATTTTCATATATAACATTTAGTCTTAATACCTGCAAGTTTCATATATAACATTTAGTCTTCACTGTTTGAAATTTATTTGAGTTATTTATTTGAAAGTTATTTTATATCTATATAAATTAAAGTAATAATGATCATTATTGTCATGATCATGAACATTAGCGAAATTATGATGATGGTTTGACTCTAAGTTTTTTTTTTTTAGATTTGTCAAGGTTGTCTGCTGAACTCAAAAAATATTATCTTAAATATTATGAAGAAATTAGTGAACTTCAAACACCACTAAAAACATCCAAAAATCTTGATCTAAAACATAAGTTTGTTGATCTATGTATTGTTGATGCAGCCAAAACTCAAATGGCTGCTTTTTTTAGTGTTGAAAGAAAGGAATTTCTTAAAAAGCAAATGAGTTATACACCAATTCCATACAGTAAAATATTTATGCAAGAAAAATCCGTAATATTAATATCTGGAATAGCTGGTATTTGGAAGACATGGTTGCTTAGAAAATGTTTGCTTGATTGGTCAAATGATTTAATTTGGAAAAATGTTGAACTTGTTTTTTATTAAGAATGCAGGAGGATTAATCAATATGAAAATATTTCTAATATTAATGATTTGCTAAGCGTTTTTTTCAAAGATATTATAAGTAACTTCAATATTAGACAACATACAACACTGTTTATTATTGATGGGTTAGATGAGTTTAAGTTTTTTAATGAGTTATCAAATCCGGAATTAAAGTGTAACTATCCAATTGTTAATGTTTTAACAGAAATTCAAAATTATAAACATTTAGTTGCTGGTAGAGTTTATGCAATAGATCAATATCAAAGTTTATATACAGATCGTAGTGATAAGTTAACTATTCAAATAATGGGGTTTAACGATAATGGAATAACAAATTATGTAGAAAATTATGTTATAGAAGAAAATAAAGAAATTGTAAAAGCAACTTTAAAGGAATCTCCGATTGCAAAAGCTATGGCATCAGTTCCTTTTTACTTATCTTCCATGTGTAAAATTATAAGTGATTTAAAAACAATAAACAAAAATTCTTTCTTAACAATGACAGATCTGTATGCAAATATTGGAAAACGATTCTAATAAAAAATATATTTTAAATATTTGTAAAATTGCATTGAACTACTTGTTGAAAATAAAATAATTTTTTCCAAAGAAGAGTTTCAAACTTTTGTTAGTGACTTCGATAAAAATGAAGGTAATTTTATTGGATTTATAGAAAAGATTGAAACAGACCTGGGTTGTTATTATCAGTTTGCTCACTTGACATTAATGGAGTTTTGTGCATCTGTATATGCATATAATTGTTTAAGTAGTGAAGAAATTGTGACTAATAAAAAGCTGAAAAGTTGTTTATCAATGATTTGTGGATTATCTAATGCTAGTCAAAATAGTTTATTAAAGTTTCTTGTTGACCTGATTCCTTTGAAAAGGTCCCATGAAAAATCTATCTATTTGTATTCTATTTTGGGTGAGTTCAAAATTTTTGCGGTATTATTGTGAGTCATTTTTGTTAATCTTACAGGTGTTCAATAAAATATAAAAATATTGTTATTTTTACTTTGTTTTTATTTGAATTAGGAATTTTTTTAAATTGAATAATTAAATATTTTTTAATAAACAGTAATAAAGATTTATATGTTTAAATTAAAAAGATTTTTTCTTATTTTTTAAGTTTATCAGTTGACTTAATTTAAAATAAAAAAAATAAGTTGGTTTAAATCTTTTGTTTTTTAAATGATACACTTTCTATTTTTATATTTGGTACATTTAACAGCATTTTCAATTCTTTAAAGGAAATTTAAACAAATATTTCTAATTAAGTTGTAGTGTATTAAATTATATTGGAATACAAAAAACCGACAGTTATTTATACCAGATTTGATAAGAATTAAATTTACTCAAATGTGAGCATTGGTGATGTGATGATGCTGATGGTGACGATGTAGTTATAGTCATTTTTAATTTTTTTTCTCAGGTATTTTGTGTTATATATTTCTTAATTTAAATTTTATTGAAAAATTTTTCTGAAAAAATTTAAATCAAAAAATGACTATAACCACTGAAATAAAAAGGTATTTTGAACTAAATATTTTTTAATTTTGAGTTGATCGACAGATTTTTATTTAGGAAACGAAACTTAATTTTAAAAAGCATAAGTTGTTTGGACAAGTCTTTTTATTTATATTTAAATATATTAGGTTGCATCATATTCTAACAAAATATTTTACAAAATATTTTTTTAGAATATGTATGCATAAATGTATGTATGTATAAATAAATGTGTGTGTATGTATAAATAAATGTGTAAGCATAAGTGATTTCAAAATTAATTCTTTATTTTTCACCTTGCTACTACTTGATTTATATATGCTGGAGGTTGTAATGAAGTTTTAATTCTTTTTAGGTTTTTCAGGTATTTTAAGCTTAATGTTTTTAGATTTAGAGTTATTGAGAGATTTTTCTTAGGAAACCAAACTTAATCTAAAAATGCACAAGTTGTTTGCACAAGTTTTTATTTATATTTTAGGTGTGTTCTTATTTTACAATATATTTTATTTAGAACATCTATGAAAGCTCAAAATATGTGTAAGATGTCTAATCATGATTGATTTCAAAATAAAAACTTTGGTTTTTCTAAAAAATATTTTTATCTTGGCTATTCCCAACCATATTTTAAAAAAATTTGTAACTTTTCACAAAATTTCATTTTTCTGGAGATCTAAGATGCAAACATGTATAAGACTTTTTCGTTAGGTTATTATGTCTAACTCATACTTGAAACAAAATAACATCTAGCTTTATGGAATCACCTTGCTACAACGCCAAAAACATGCAGAATCTCATATAGTTTTTATATCAAGAAACCGGATATAAATGTTTCTTTTTCTGCTCAAGAAATGAAACAGTTCAAAATATTTTCAGAATAGTTTTACTTAAACTTCTAAAAAAAAATTACTTTGCATGGCAAGTTTTTCTTATATGATAGTCTCTCTCTCTTTCTAAGAAAATGGAGTGGAAACTAAGTACGAGGTGTTTTCAATGATTGTTGCATTTATCTCTGGTTAGGTGCAACAATCTTTTTGTTTTTTTCTAATTTTCAATCAATATTTATTTAGGTAAATATTTTAGTATTTTTCTTTAGTATATTTCTATATATCTTTAGGATATTAAAGAAATCAAAACAAAGCGAAAATATAAATTTTAATTAGTTTGATATCAACATTTGTATTCAATTAGTTTACAAAAAAAAAAGGGAAAAAAAAGCTAAAAATCTGAATTAAAAGTTGAAGCAATTTTTTTAATTTGTTTTTCATGTAATGTAAGGGATTGTCCATAAATTATGCAACAACAAAAAATATTATTAGAACAGAAGGAGGATATATTGAGCTCTTTTACGCGGCGATTTTCATTTGACTTAATTTTCTATTTTGATTAATTTATTAAATTAAGACTCTGAGAGGGTAAACTTTTGATCTTTTTTTGTTTTGTTTATTGTGAAATTTTGCGTTACATAATTTATGGATGTAATAAGTAAGCCCTCTTTTGGCCAGACTCAAAACTTTTTAGCTTATTTTATTCTTTAGACTATCAGCTTTTATACAAATTAGCTAAAAATTTAATTTAATCTTTTTTTAAACTTATTATACAAACAATAAAATCATAATATTTTGTTATTTCAACAACGTGAGAAACATGTAGAAGATCAGATATTTACTAAGGATTATTACCACCCTACCCCACCCGAAACAAGAGGGGCAACAAGTTTAAAAATTTATTGTACTATTCTCAATTAGACTTATATTAATCATTATGTTTTATAGTATTATTTCTTAGCGTTCAAAAATTACAACCATATAAAATTTGTAACTCCCTCAAATTAAGGGGGGTTTAAAAGTCACATATTTTAAAATGCAAGACAATCATAAACTGATAAATATTGTATATGGCACACATAAAGATGTTATTACATGGTTTTTAGCACTTATTGACATCATATTTATTAATTTCATTTTTTTTTATACATCAAAATCGATATTTGAAGTTTTTAATTGTCTTAGTTAAAAATTATTTTTATTCTGTTTTTTTATTTGAAAAATGTTTGTAAAATTGTTTATATTCAGTTAATTTAGTTAATAATTAATAACAGTGTTAAATTAGTTTTTTTAATGTATTTAATGCAATTTTTTTTAAATGAAGATTTGTGAATTTTTTTTTAAATGATTTTGTTTTTTTATAGTCTAAAAATTCTAAAATATATAAGAATTTTGTTAAGAGAAGAATGGGAAAGTGCTTGTACCAAGGAACATTTGTTGGTGGGTAAACCAGTTAAGATGTTTTCATAGTAGTGCAAGTAGAGCAAGCATTTTCTGTATCTAATAAAAAGAATGCGTCTCAGTGCTTAAAATAAGCATCTTGTATCCTGTCCGTATAACAATAACTTAATCATTTAGCAATAATCTAAGGTCAGGTCAGGTTTATCTTGCTACTGGTAACATGTAACCCAGTACAATCTGCTTCATGTCCTGCTGCCTTGTAGGATATGCCTTTTTAGGCAAAGGCTAGGAGATGCAAACTCCGACATAAAACACCCCCTGCCTTTGGGCTCTTGGTTGAGTAAAGGCTAGAGATGGTGTCTCGATAAAAATACTCATCTTGGGCAGATGTTAAATGCATCCGGCTGCTGTCTTGTAGAAGGCCTCCTAGGCAAAGACTTAAGGGGTAAACAGATTTTATCTGTTGACCAGCCTCACACCCCTTCTCCATCTATTAGGCTGGCGCAGATGTATTTTTAATACATTGTTTCCAGTTTAGGATGTTGAACGCTGGATCTTCTTGACTCAATGCGTGGGTTTTGCTTGTGTCTCTGTTTTTATGACTAGGCAACTCATTCTATTATCTCCAAAAGAGGGTACAGCTCTAAAACTTAGTTTTATGGTTCTGAGGCCGGCTGGTAGTCAGGTTTCCTGAACTCTGTTGTAGCTCTCAGATAGGCTGATTCCATCAACAGCTGAAAAATATCAGAGTACTAACAGTGCCATGTTGCGCATGGATGGTGTCCCTGTTTGTACTTTTGGTGTGCATTGCCAAGGCCATATTGGAGCCCTTTGTTACGGCTTAGGGTTTATTAGTGGAAATGAGGCAATTGCTTGGGCTATAAAACAGTGTATTGAGTACTATCTATGTTTCGAGTCAAGTTCTTTAACAAATTTAAAAATGAATAAAGTAACAAAAACTATAAAACACAAAAAACCACAGTCATCACCAAGTTGGCTAAACCTATCATTTACCAATATTCGTGGTCTTCGAAGTAACTTTTCTTCTGTTGAGTCTTATATCTTCCAAAGTTTACCAGACCTACTTGCTCTTTGTGAGACTAATTTGAGTTCAGCTGTCTCATCTTGTGATCTTAGTGTTGATGGTTATCTTCCATTAATTCGTAAAGACTCAAGACTGCACTCTTCTTGATGTTATTTCTGATTATATTGACCAAGCCCTCATTCTTTATCCATCAGCCAATGTTGTTGTTGGTGACTTTAATGTTCATCACACTGAATGACTTGGCTCTAGTGACAGTGACTCCGCAGGCATTAAGGCCCACAACTTTTGCCTTTCTCAATCCCTAACTCAAATAGTCAACTTTCCAACTCGCTTTCCAGACAACCCGAATCATTTACCTTCTCTACTCGACTTATGTCTTGTTTCTAATCCTAGTCAGTGCTCAGTTTCTCCATACTCACCCTTAGGTGCTTCTGATTATGGTTTAATCTCTCTATTCCAGGTCAAGCCTCACTCTTTTCTATGGTTTTCCTCACATTGTGCTGCTGCAATTGCCAATATAAACCATTACTTCCATATCTATCAGCAAAACAATTCTCCAGAAAACAGATGTCTGTTTATTACTGCAAGGAACCATTGTAAAAAGGTTTTGTCTAACGCCAAAGCCCGCTATTCTCAGATCATGAAATCTCGTATTTCATCACAAAAATTAGGCTCTCGTGACTTCTGGAGAATCTTTAATAGTATCAATAATAAGGGCAAGTCTGTAATTCCACTTCTTTTGTACGGTTCAGACTTTGTCACCTCACCTAAAGACAAAGCTGAATTGTTTGCCAAGAACTTTTCATCAATATCACCTCTGGATTCCACTAGTTGCGTTCTACCTGATATAGCCGTCAAACAGGTTGATTCACTGCTTGACATCCATATCACTCTAGCTTCTGTATCTAAAGTGATTTCCAGCTTAGACTCTTCTACAGCTTGCAGCCCGGACAACATACCTGTTATAGTCTTGCAGAAGTGTTCTCTGGAGCTGTTGTCTATCCTTTCAAAACTATTTAACAAGTGCTTATCAGAGTCTTGTTTTCCAGCCTGCTGGAAAGCAGCATCTGTTATCCCTATTTTTAAAAATTCTGGAGAGCGATCTGATTCATCAAACTACCATCCCATTAGTCTTCTTTCTATCATAAG